ACTTTCAATGAACATAATATTTCATGCTAAATAACTGTAGTTTACTGATTTTAACATCTCTTTGGCCTATTTGGAATATTCAATTCAAAAGAGAGAGAACCTGAGGCAATCGCATGAACTCCACTCGGAGCGAGTCGGTGTGTCGACAAGGTGAGCATGCGAATGCACACTTAATCATAAGGTCACATTAGGGAAGGGAACAAAAGAGAGGCGAAGGATACCAAAGGAACATTCAAACTCATGAGTCGAACATCAACTGATAACGCCATTGATAAAAAAGAAAAAAAAAAACATGCAGACAAACAACAATGCACAAAACTACATAGAAAATCAAAGACTGAGTAACACGAACCCCACCAAAAACTGGGTATGATCTCATGGGCTCCGGAAGGTAAGCAGATCCTGCTCCACATGTGGCACCCGTCGTGTTGCTCATGTAAGTACAAACCCGGTGATATGTCTAATTCGGTAGGTCGCATTCGAGTGAAAAGGGGACGAGATTGTAGTTACGACAATTGGAACATATCAGTCGTCATCTTTGAAACAGATATTCCATAACGATTAACCAATTCGTGATGGCGTCCGTAAAATTTACGAAGGGATGATTTCAACTTCACCACTTGGAACTTGGAACTCTTGATTTAATAGCTTTCTTGTAAGCAGCAACCCTCCATCAAGGAAATCATGATAGGAAACACAAGCCCTGGAATGTCGTATCAACTGGGAGATATATACTCCGTATGCAGGCGCTGCTGGAATGTTGCTACATAGAAATGGAAAGTTCACAATTGGGAAGCTGAAATCATCTCTTTTTGTCGTCAGTTTTTTTTTTCAACCGACCCTCATTGTCAATTTCTAGATGCAAGTCAAGATATGAGGCAGACTTAACTTTATCTTTATCTCAAGTTCGATGGGATAGATGCGTTCAATATAGTCACCAAACCTTGAATTATTTAGTGAGAGAACATCATCTTTATAGCAGAAAGTAAAGTTAAAGGATACTGCTAACTTCTTTTCGTTCTTCCAAAGAAGTTCCTGTATGAAGTCAGTCTCATATGAATAAAGGAAAAAGTCGGCAAGAAGAGGAGCACAGTTCGTTCACATGGGAATTCCGATTGTTTCTTGAAAAACACGTCCTCCAAACGTAACAAATATGTTGGCAATCAAGAAATCAAGCATCTTGATAATGTCAGTTTCTGATAATTTTTTGTTTGAATCAGAGTGATTTTTACAAAGTACGATTTATCCCTCCCTAAGACAAGAAATTTGTATCTACGTAAGCCATTCTTATTTATGCAACAAAGCATGACAAACTCATTCAAATTGTCTTTTTTAGACAAATGGCTAAATGTACAGATCAGACAACTATTCTGAAGAAACAGGAAAGCGAAAACATGTCGCTTGTGAGTCGAGACTCAGACATATCGTACTGGTCTATTTATTCGTGAAGTTGGCCGTTAAACACGTGTAAAGACGATTATATTTCTAACATTTCACTTTAATACTGTATTTGATTAATTTAGCCTTATTATTATAAACTATGGAAAGAAGAAAACAATAAACCTATATTCTTTGGTCTTCCTATATCATGTTGAACTATCCATGAGACATGTATATAGTAAAGTCGTCTGATCTGTAATTTTAACAATTGTGACATTTGACGGAGTGTGGATTCGCATTAAGAGTGATGCATGCACATATATATAGGAGACGTTACCCTGTCGACGCACCCGGTCTCACTACTTTTGATGTTTATGTCGCTTTTATATACACTCCAACAGATCATAATGATATACACATGGTTTAAAAGTAATCTTAAGGGATATGGATAGACATATATCCTAAGTGCAATGTGTGTTTTTATAAGTAATAATTAAAGCTTGTTCTGTTGCTTCGAATTCAATTTTAAGTACTTATTATTAGATATCAGAAAGCCACAAGATTTCAAACTTTGGATCTAATTACAGTTACTAATAAGGTGCTATATACATAAATCATTGTATTTACAAAAGTAGTAAAAGTTAATTGAGAAATAACTGATTGAACCTATGAATAAATTGTTCTCGATAATGAACTTGTATTGTACACATTTAACATAACTTTTGCGACCTTGTGATAAAGTAAAGTGCAGGTGAACTTTGGGTCAGGTTTGGGAACTGGTTACCCTATTCTATAACTTTGTCTTGAATTATAGTACAATTGAGAATAATGCAAAGTGTGCTTTTGACAAATGTTTATCATAGTACAAAAAAAAATGTTCATCGGTTCAAGTATAACAATTACTATTGACTTTTCTACAATAATGACTCTGTTATTACAATTTAGGTAAATATTGGTTCGGACATTAAAAGCAATATATGTTTGCCGATTATAGAACAAATGACCTCGGATTCATATGTTTTGACGGTTGATGTTTTAAGAAATAATGATAGGTATAAAAGTATCAATAGCCATTCAATTTCACATGTGACGTTACAGAGTAAAAGGTTCATTTCACGTTTCGTTGATGTGATGTTTAGGCCAGTTAGATATCAATTCTATTTTGGTCTTGGGTACAAATGTAAGGTGTATGTGCATGCAAATCATTTTGAATTTTTCACACATTATTTTTTTTCTCTCAACCGATCCATCCGTCGTATTACAGAAATTATAGATACACTTGCTATTTATCATTAGTGTTTGTGGTTTTTTTAGAGTTAAAGTGTACATTACGTGAAGCATAACATATTTTTATGTATTTACTTTTTAGTTATTAATGCTTTTAGACCTAGACTGATCCTGATGTAAGTCTTTAAGGTTGATATTCTAACTGTCAGCATTACCTGTAAACAAGCTTGTATAAATGTCAATCTGCAGATGATGACGGAGTTTCTAAGTATATGTCTTTTTAAACTTCCTTTAATATGCGTCATGGGATTCTAGTTATGCTCCTGATGCAAGTCTTAAGGGTTAATATGATAATTTTCAGCATTACCTGTAAAACAGCTAGTACCAATGCCAATCTGCAGATGATGAATGAGTATCAAAGTATATGTCTTCTTTTAACTTCCTTTAATATGCCTAATTGGGTTACAGCTATTGATCCTGATGCAAGTCTTTAGGGTTGCTATTATAATTTTCAGCATTACCTGTAAAACAGCTATAGTATCATTGCCAATCCGCAGATGATGACTGAGTATCTAAGTATATGTCTTTTTGAACTGCATTTATATATCCCATGGGGTTCCAGTTATTAATAACTCTTCTTTGTTTGATACATATATAGATATTTTAATACCCGTGACTAACAGCATATGTACAGTGTAGACGGTTAGATTGATTGATTAAGTAATCAATGGCTGCTTAGGGGTTACAGAACACCTAATGGAGTTGAACGTTTTAATCACATTCTATTAGAAAAGAGAAATCAAGCTTCTTATTGATCAAAATTGTTGTTTGTCAAACTGCTATATATCCAATGAAATTATTCCTGTAAATTGTGTGGTTCAAATTTCTAGAAATTTTCATATTTTTGTCATGAAGTCAAAGGAAATATTTTGTCAAAATTTCATGAAAATTACGGGTGCCACATGTGGAGCAGGATCTGCTTACCCTTCCGGAGCACCTGAGATCACCCCCAGTTTTTGGTGGGGTTCGTCTTGCTTAGTCTTTAGTTTTCTATGTTGTGTCATCTGTACTATTATTTGCCTGTTTGTCTTTTTATTTTTGGCCATGGCGTTGTCAGTTTGTTTTCGATCTATGAGTTTGACTGTCCCTCTGGTATTTTGCGTCCCTCTTTTAAACGGGCCAAATCTATTTAAGTTCAAGTGTTGGGTACCCCTTTACTTACATTAAATTTTCATGCACATTCGAAATGATAACATATAAATAAGATATGAATATGCATTGCTTGCAACTAGTCAGACACGGTGAGGGGTGTATTCAACGTTTTAACTCATAAGGTAACACGGAGACAATCTTTACTATCCAGATACATAAATAAGAGACGACCAGTATTTGCGCTTACTTCTTAACGACAAAGGAACAGGCGGACATTCCGACCACAAACTATACCCTACTTCGATCAGCGAGATATAACAAGAAGATGTGGAAGGGTTGTCGATGAAACAGGTATCAATTATAATTAGTCTCTAAATGCGTAGGGTTAATTCAGCTATAAAATTTTATATATACAGTTGATTTTTTTCTAATGCCATTACAGCACAGGAAAAAAGGTTTACTTCACATTCCACCAAATATATTGTGAATCGACTGTTTATAGTGGAACAATTAAAGCCATCACTGAAAAGAAATTTATTATCGAATTGCTATTCTGTTGCAGTTAAATTGGTAACATTTATATATTTCAAACTCATCTTTATACCAGTAATGTTAGCCCCCGCCACATGTTCTAATGCCTGTCCCAAGTATAGAAAATGTCCTCTGTGATCGTTATAGCTATGCCGATGTATATACCATCATGACAATAGTTCAGTGTTGATGGCATATATTCGATATTTTTTTATTCTGTAATGTGTTATAAAATAAATATTGCTGTTTAATTACCAGAAAAAAGACACATGGCCATTGTTTGTCTAGGGTTGTTTCCCTGTTGATGAACATATTTATTCAACTGATGCATTTTGATAGTCCCTATTTACCCATTTACTTTTTTTACTGAATCAAAGAACTGATAGCAGGTCAATTTGTTTAAACTTTTTTTAGCATGAATAAAGAAGAGGGATCTTCATCAATAGGACAACACCCCAACTAGGCAAAACAATTAGAACAGAAATTTACCCCTTAACACTGATAAAAAAATGTACCATGATTCAAGTGTTTTAGTAAATCTGGATAGCAGTACATACCTTACAAAAAAGGCCATTATATTAGTCTTAAAAAACCAATATTTGTCAGTAAAATGTTAACGAACAAATTCGATGTTGCGGAATGATTTCTGTCAATATTTAAAATATATTCAATGCACGAGAGTGAAATAGATATATGTGATGCATAAAAAGTATGGAACAGTGGTTTTCCGTGAGTAATTAAATATATTGGACGTTATTAACATCATGAAACAGAGTGCGACTTATATTCAATAAATTATTTATACGAAAACTTTGGATCAGTTATAAAACAGTAGCAAATACGTAAAGGTACGTTGTTTTGAATTTTTGTGTTAATATTGTTTTATCAAATTGTTTGCATTGTATTTGGAACTTTTAAATTAGTACACCATGTGTATGAAAGTGGACTTATTTCCATACATTTTTTTTTTATTTTATTATTTTGATATCAGTTTTTGCAAACTCAAAAACCAAGTTTTTTAATTTTTTTATGATTATTATATTTGATCATTCAAAGTCCAATGGCATAAAATGAGCACTTTATAAATGTCGCGCATTCAAAACTCTTTTCTAGATTTACATTCACCAGGAACACTCAACCACAACCATGTGTATGCTAGGGGTGTTTGTATACTAGTACGTAGAAACGTTAGGAGCTTTCTTACCAAAGATGGACCCAAAAGAATCGACAAATTTAATAAACTTATGAAATAAGAAAATATTGTTACTATCAAATGAAATAGAAATATATATGGTCCTAAATCATTTCGCATTTTTATTTGAGGTAGGTTTTTTCCACACAAATTTAGTGAAACAAATGTGTTACAATACCTTTTAAAAAGGCAGTTAGCAATCTAAACATAATCTGTTGTTTAAGACTGCATGTTGATCCCCGGATGTAGTTTTGGTTTTTATATCGTTGGGTTGCCCACTCATTGACATATACACCTTTTTTTTTATTCATATACACTGTACTTGAGTTCTAACCAAGTGGAAGTAAAATACACAAATATATGATCATATATGTTGAACCTTTTTAAGCTTTATGAAAACAAAATAATTAGAGTTAATGAAATTGAAGAAAAAATATTTACCTAAAACTAATTTCGATATGAATTTATCCCGAACTAGAAACGTAGGAGCTATCTTACCAAAAATGGACCCAAAAGAATCGACAAATTTAATAAACTTGTGAAATAAGAAAATATTGTTACTAACAAATGAAATAGAAATATATACGGTCCTAAATCATTTCGCATTTTTATTTGAGGTAGGTTTTTTCCACCCAAATGTAGTGAAACAAATGTGTTACAATACCTTTTAAAAAGGCAGTTAGTAATCTAAACATAATATGTTGTTTAAGAATGCATGTTGATCCCCGGGTGTAGTTTTGGTTTTTATATCGTTGGGTTGCCCACTCATTGACATATACACCTTATTCTTTTTTAATTAATATATACTGTACTCGAGTTCTAACCAAGTGAAAGTAAAATACACAAATATATGATCATATGTTTGAACCTTTTTAAGCTTTATGAAAACAAAATAATTAGAGTAAATGAAATTGAAGAAAAAATATTAACCTAAAACTAATTTCGATATGAATTCATCCCGAACTATAAAAACAAATTAGTACTATCATAACGGTTTCTGTTTTAGCTTAACAACTACTTAGTAAATGATTACTTGAAAAGAAATATATCTTAAGAAAAAATTACTATAAAACATGAATTCCGAATAAAACTCCGTTTATTTCCATATGCAATTGAAATCCTGCAGATATTTTTTTTACTTTTTATTACCTAAAAACTTAGTTCGGACAATGTGTTTTTATAGATTCGTCGGTATAATGAACAGTCTAGACGAATATTTGAAACCCTCAGAATAAGTATATAAATAAATCATAGACGCCTTAATACCGACAAATTTTCATATAAATCGTTTTAACAAGAGTACTATTTCTAACTTTATCTGTACTAGAACACACCCGCGAAATCGCGGGTATTTAGAGCTTGGTTGAAAGTATGTAAACTGTTGTAGGATGAATTTTTGTAAAAGATTTTATGTCTGGAGAATTTCAGAAAAGGTATCAAACTGAGTCATAGGCACTTGGAGACAGGACAATTATTTTAAGCCCTCTCCCTTTTTTCCAAAGTCCGTTATTTGTTTGCTCTCTGTTAAATTCCATGATTTTCGCGTTTCTGTATACTATGAACATACATATAATATAAATAAAGTGTATTTGCTATTAACAGGAACATCAATTCCAAGTTTCTTCTCCACGGCGATCACTGCTATATTATATAGAGAGTCTCTATATATTATAGGATTATAATCATAGTATACGTGCAATATAACGCGAAAATAATTGTCCTGTCCCCGAGTAATTATGAAAATTATATTTAAAGAGGGCGAAATAAAATTGCCATTTCACGATGAGCGAACAATTAAAAGTTTCTTGCACGTTGATCTTTTTATCGATTTCAAGAAACACGGTGAATAACGAACCTTTTTCACGGCTGCACGTGAAATAAAAAGTGGCAAAACACGTTACACGAAAATAACCCTTTACCCCCTCTTTTAAAGTTTAAAATCGGAAGTTTTGGGTATGACTTAAAAGTCGGTCTGATGACGGAAACAATAACCGGACGCCTTTTTCTTCGTATTTCTCCCAAAATAACCCAAACTGAATAATCATAAGAATGGATGACAAATGCGACTATGCATGGTACCTGTAGGACACAGAGGCATGATGATTAATTTATTGGGGAAGGAAGAGAAGCGACATACAAAATGAGGTCTTCTCGTTTAATAGTATAGATGTATATCATTAAACATGATACTGCTGAATCAGTAGTTGTCTATATCAACATTGATTTTTATTGTTATGTTGTATTGCTTTTTTTGTTAAAAAAAATTACATATTATGCACTATTTGTTTTTAAGTTGAAAAAAAAACAAACACAGAATCTAAAACTGTCAATTTATGATTATATTTGGCTTTTAATGTTCCTGATGAAGGTAACTCATGGAATACGCTTCGGACGCACGATAGTTTGAATGTCTTACTGTCTTTTATTTGGTTCTTTGCTAATATGAAAGCGATCAAGCATTATTTGGATAACTTGTTCCCTTGAATGTTCCAATCCTTTACATTCAATTTGTTTTCCGGTAACTTGCCTTTTTATGTATTTTAAAAGCTAAATACGATGCCCATGTAATTAGTTTTCTAAATCACGTCCTTATTTTTTAATGAAAAAGAATAGTCTTATCAGTTTTATAATTTTAGCATAGGATTTGGGAATGACGTCCGTCGGAAAAAAAACATTGTGGTAGACATCTGAGTCTATCAATTATTGAGGACTGAAGAGATTTTTTTCAAATAAACAAGACTTTTGGTATAGTAGGCCATTTGCGCGTTTTGTCTTCGTATGTCTTATCAGTGGCACTCCAATCAAAATAGTTTCACGTCAAATCCAATACGAAGTTAAACAGCATGGAAAACAAAAATAAATCCAAAAAGACGTGTTAAATATTGCTAAAGCCACCTATGCCTGGGGATAGATAAACCTTGATGTTGAGAATGATTTAAACATTTTGTCAACTGTTTATTTACAGGAAACTACTCAATTTCTCTGCACCAGAATGATGGCTACGTAAAACATTATAATCTGTTATTATACTTTGTACTATTAAGAGGGAAGGGGCCTCGGTGGCCGAGTGGTCTAAGTAGTTACTACTGTAATCACTAGCCAGTCAACACTGAGGTTGTGAGTTCGAACCCCGCTTGTGCGGGTGCACTCGACTCCAATCTTAATTGACTAGGATTGTCCGTTTTCCTATCGAAGGTCGGTGGTTTTCTCCGGGCACTCCGGCTTCCTCCACCAATAATAACTGGCCGCCACGAAATAGCCCAAAAGCGGCGCTTAAAAGTGGCGTTAAAACACCAAAAATCAAATCAATTAAGAGGGAAATAATACTGTTCATTCCTTTTTGTTGAATAATTATAACGTGTTAAACTGAAATGTGAGGATTTACTTATTTTGAATTCTATTAGTATGTCAGCATGAAGTAAAAAGAACCCTCTATTACTGTATTAATTTACTAAAGCCTTTATAGATATTCACATTGATCTGTTAGCGAAAACATGAGCAATCTAAGTACAATCTTCTGGGGTTTTTTTAATTTCGTATTGACCGACAGGACCTTGACCTTAAAATGTGTAAAAACAAAACCATAAGTCACAATGAATCAAATTAAATTAACTATCGTCGCTGTGGAACATAATGTATATCTATAAACACTTGATTGCATGATTTCAAATGTACAAATATTCAAAACAAAATTCATACTTGATATGAAACAGATATTCACTGACAAGCCAGTTCAGCATTTATGTTGGTTAATGTTCTTTTTTTTAAGGCAAACTCGCTCACAAGCCAAAATATCTTTTGTCCCGGTCAAGAACCCTATCGATGGTTATCCTTGACTTATCAAGATTTTTTTTTGTGGACATTTTTGTTTCTTTTTAATTTATTGAAGACTTTCACAAAATTCAAGACTCGGGGTGATATATTGATTGACATATACCACGTTGAATTAAACGTAAAAGGATTACAGAAATTATAAAAAAGGTATTGGACAGTACAAAATACTGCACAAACCACTAACACCTAACATTTCCGAGAAATTGAAATTATAACAATGACAAACAACAACGAACGTTGAAAACAGTGTGTCGCCCTCTTGAAAACTTTAAGTTATGTATGTTAATGAGCGCATGTCTCTCATTGACGTATATCTATTTTTATTCACAACGTGAAAACATTAGTCCAAACGCTCCAATCAGGTGAGAAATATAGTAGGGAAATCGATATAGTGGCGGCCATGAACAATGAACCGAGTTTTTACATCACAAAGATTTCAACTGTTATTTTTTTTTATAAGTCTTACATTTATGAGGCCTTTTTATGAGTCTTACGTGAGTGAGGCAATGTTAACAGGGATTGCATTGTCATAAATCTTTAAATTAATATAAAAAAAAGCGGAGATAAGATGGTAAGTTTAAACTATAGGATTGAAATTTTAGGGGTTTTATTGTGTGCATTTACCGTGAAAATTTACTTCATTACCCTAACATTTGAATTTAATGTAATGAAGGTAAATCGAGAATAGAGCTACGGACGCATTAGATTCATAAATTTTTTTTTTTTTTCATTTCACTACGATATACTATACACTTGGTCCGCATCGTACAGTTACTTTGTAACGACAGAGTTCCAATAGCACAGTAGTCAGCACTCTTGTGT